AGATATTCCTAATATTAATATTTTTGCCAAGATTCTGAAGTTGGCAATTTTAGCTTTCTTTTAAAAAAAAACAGAGAAAGCAAAAAGATTTGTGGAGAATGCCGATAAATTATCCAATATCAGGAACCTCGTGCTAAGATATAGTTAAAAGATTAATGTTTGGGTCAAAATCAGAGAATTTCATGTTTCTATGAGCACACAGGACAATATCTTACACATGATGAGACAGAAATGGAAGACAGCACTATGCAAGAAAGATTAGAAAAATCAAAATTAGAAAAGAAAACGAACCACGTTAGTTGTTGGTAGGCTGGTCTAAACTGTTCAGCGCTTTCAAATAACACGGAAAATAACACGAAGTCACAATATATGAAAGAGGGGTTCCACAGGGTCCTGGTGGGCACACAGAAGCAGCTGGATGCCTGTGCATGGGATGACGAGTGGCCTCAGCCTTCACCAGAGCCACCCAGACTGTGCAGGTGTGAGCTCACATACCACACTGCCTACAGCCCAGCACAGCCCAGGTCAACACCAAATCCTTGTCATCCCCCAAAACTGGCGTGCTTCTTTTAACATCAATGTGTGTAAATCAGAGGGGAGGACTGGGGTGTGGAAGATTTCAGGTTGCTGATAGAGGCTGGACATTTTGAACTCTGGACAAAGTGACCGGAATCTTTGTTTCTCCTGGGCCCGGAGCTTTTGTAATGGGCTGGGTGTTGGCTTTGATGTCTGCAATTCGCTCTTTAAACTTTTGCTGAAGGAATTTTTCTTCTTTGGAGTAGCTTTTTGCAAACACCGACATCAGCAGGCACCCTGCCATGGACGTGCCCCCAATGCAGAAGAGAATGGCTCCTGCCAACTTGCATGCGTCAAGGGCACCGTTGAACTGGACAGCGTGCGTATCGACCACCATGAAATCAGCTTCGCCAAACGCTTCGATTTTAGGGGGCACAAGAAAGCCCACTGCCAGAACAGTCAATCCGAGAACCACGAAGACTGTGCCTGAGATGAGTCCGACCTAGGGCAAGATAACGATAGTAGCAAGACAAAGTAAGCCAGGTGGGTCAGCTCTCCCTGGAAGCCTCAAGCACAGGACTTGTCTTGTTTCTTGAGAGAAGTGAATATTCCCAGTCACCCCCAATTCACATGAAAACCCTATTTGATTTT